ACTTACGCTTTAATACTGAAATTAGGGTTTCTTCGCTAAAATCAGATTAACCTTACACTGATACCATTTAAGCACGATACTCTTTCAATCATAATAGAGATGCCAATTCAAACCACTACTTTATCTGCATATAAATAAGCCAGCAAATAGGGACACAAATGCGTATCACAAGTCACACCCTATTCTTACCTGGATTATCAAACACACACTTTTAGGTTGACAGTGATTTAAACTCATAAACTTTGTTTTATCATGCCTGCATTCTCCACCATTATATGTAGCGAATCAGCTCAAAGGGGAAATATGAAACTCTTTCAATCATAATAGAGGTACAAATTCAAGCCCCTACTTTATCTGCATTTAAACAAGCCAGCAAATAGGGACACAACAGTGCATCTCAAGTCACGCCCTATTCTTACCTGGATTATCAAACACACACTTTTAGGTTGACAGTGATTTAAACTCATAAACTTTGTTTTATCATGCCTGCATTCTCCACCATTATATGTAGCGAATCAGCGCAAAGGGGAAATATGAATAATTAATTATAACTAGTTATGATTAATTATAAATATTTAGATCGGCTGTAAGTATTTGCTTGACATCTCAGTGTCAACTGTCTGTCAATTCTAAGAACGTTAATTTCCTGGTTAAGGAAAAAAACTTTCTTACTGCACAATACTACTCAGAGCATGTAGCAAAAGCTTAGTTCAAACACACCTTTGTAAAAAGGTGCAAATGATACTTAAAGGTCCCCTGAAATGCTTAGATACACGCAGCATTACTCTATGTGTTGACGTCATTTTAACTGAAACAGGAAGACAGGGCGGGACATATCAAGCAGCCCCGCCCTTTTTTAAAATAGCCAATAGTGTTCCTTTATATCACAGCTTGGGCTAGAGCCGTTCAGAGCCGTTGAGCTCCGTAAAGCCGCATTTGACAGGGTAACTATTAGGGATGCCCCGATCCGCCTTTTTCGCCTCCGATACCGATACCGATCCGATACCAGTGAAGTTTTTTTCCCCCATTTAAATAAATGTAGAATTTAATATATATATATAACCATGAACTTAGGACTGGTGCTTTTTTTGGTCATTCAGTGTTCCTGTAAAAAAAATAAAATAAATAAATAAAAAAAAAACCCTACAAAAATACTGATAAGATATTATTATTATACGAATAATAAAGCGCACCAAGGATTAACGAGCTTCTGGATTAATGAATATTATTCAGGTCGTGTGCATTCGCTCGAACTGATTTGCTGAAATCTAAACAGGGACGATAATAGGTGAGCACCAGCCAATGAGATTGTCGTTTGCGCATTAGTTCTGCCCACTACCGGAAAACTCGGCATTTCTTAAAAGCTGAAGAATTCCAAAGGAACTCTGTTATTTTGACAGGAAAATAAAAAAGAATATCATTTACATGTATCACATCAATTCTGCATGTTATGTAAGACTCTCTCGCTCTCTCTCTCACTTTGCGCGTCTGAGAGCCATTGGCTATTATTAGACATCATTTAGTCGCCCAGAGTGAAGATTTAGTCGCATATGCGAGTGATTTACTCGCAATGTAGAGGGTCGATTCATATATATGTTTAAGTAAAATTAATATGAATAAAATTAAATGAATATATTTTATAAAATTAAAATGCATTTCTTTTGAATGTATAGCATATTTTTTAAAAAGGCAACAACATATGATAGATAAGATAGGACAAAACAAATTAATGTATCAATTAATAAAACTAAGTTTGATACTTGCACGTCTCGCCTGTTTAAAAGAGAGTCCTGATGCACTTTGGGGCACCAGTTGGTCTCTGCTGAAGTTAGTTGATGAGAAAGAAACAGTTTGAGTCAGAGGATCTTGATGAATGGAAAGACTAGGCCGGAGCCTGGCACAAGCTTAGGGTGGTTTTTTGACGACTCTTAGCTCAGCATCTTCTCCTGGCATTCCTGAATCTAAAAGAACCACCCTGATCTGGTGATCAGTGATCTATAAAGGGTGACGATGTCACACCCTCAGGATTTGAGTGAGCCAATGAGGAATGGTAGCTTTGGAGGGAAATTTTACTATCTTTTGTCTCTAGCATGGTGTTTTGAATATGAAACTGGATTGGCTGGCCAAGAGGAGAATCTTCAAGATTCTTATAATACAAATGCGTCACAGAGTTAGCCAAATGTAATGTAAATTAACAAATAGGAAACGTAATTTGGAGCTTTTAGATACCAAGCACAGCATATGTGCGATCTTGGTTAATTAAGTAATAATAGAACATCAGATGGTAGCCTGGGTAACAGCCCTCTTGGTGTGATAGTTGCACTTTTGGGGGATGGTCCTCAGAACTCACAGAGTGGGTTTCAAAGATTATTTGTTAAATATAACAAATAATGTTGTCTGCTCTGTCCAGTCGTTACATCAATATCAGTTGATCTCTCATATATAATTAAACTAACATTGGCATAGTAATAATCTGAAAGATTTTAGTTATATGATAGGAATTTTAAAGTTGATTTTTTTTTATCTATTAACCCTTTAGGCGCCAGGGTTTTTTTGGAAAAATTCTGGAAGCCATTTGGCGATTTTCTCTCACAAATCTCACAGCTTACCCGCACGCTCTGAACTGAACTGCTTCCGCATCAATGACACGAAAGCTCACTTGCTCTGCTCTTTCCTCAAACACTTTGAATAGAAAGGTGACGTAATTTTGGTCTAGAATCGAAGTACTACATGTCTGCCATCTAGTGGTAGGGAATACAAATGAGATATTACACCATATTAGGAACTACAGTCTATTTGATTAAGTATGACGTCTTGTCGCAATTTTGCGACTTTGGCACTTAGAGGGTTAATAAATTGCTGAATAAAACCAACCAGTAAATAGTCTTGAGTGACTGATATGACAACGTGTACACAGTTTAACCATGTCTTGTTTCAAAATGACAAGTTATGAACACATTCATTCCAATCACCACCTTTTTTTTTTTTTAAGATATACAAGTACACTAATGGGTTTGATACATTTAACTTCAAATAGGGCCTTTCTATTACTGACAGTAAAGCAAGACTTGAACCTGGGTTTAGGACTCACCTCATTTAGTTCGTAGTTCCTCTGGGTTTCCAGCCCTGAGAAAAGCCCTCCAGTGCAATCCCTGCTGGGTGTCAAGGGCAAAGGAGAGGAGGAGCCACTGTGAACAGGAGTCTCTGGATAAGCAGTGGAGAAACATGCATGCAATTTCAAGATTTTATATATATATTGCTTTGTTTAGTTTTACAAGGCCGCAAAAAATCATAAATACAACCAGTAGTAATATGATTTAATGGCTTATCACTTTTGACCAATAGGCGCTGTTATCAAACTGATATTGTGTGTTCTGTCTGAGGTGACAATGGCACACACAAAGTTTGGTGACAATATATCAAAGCTTTGCAGAGATACAGCCTTAGACATAGACTGGCATCATGACTCAAATTTGTAGCGGTGCTATACAAAAACAGTTTTGTCTATCAAAACGAAATCCATAACGTTTGTCAGCACAGTCTGAAGATGATCTGTTTTGATTTTGGTGAAACTCACACAATCTGTCCAGAAGGAGTTTGAAACAGTAGGTTTTCAACAAATCAAAATAGCATAAACCAAAATAGATAAATAAATCAAAATAGCAGACCAGTTAATGAGAACAGTTTCATTACAATAGGCTAATACACTCTAGTGGTCTAGTGACGATGCCACATCAATTTTGGTCAAATTTGGTGAAAATTGACCAAAATTCGAAAAAGTAGGTTTTCAACATAAACCAAAATAGAGGACAGGAAGTTCAGCTGACTATGGCAAAATCAGTATCTACGCTTTTGGCATGACCCAAAGAATTTATTGCGATGAGTTTCACTACAATAGGCCAATTTAACCTCCTGGGGTCGACAGTTCCGCCAGCGGAACTTTTTGCAGATTTCAATGATGACAGCGAAAAGAACTACAATGCTCCTTCATACTTGACCGTACATATAAGAGTAATACAGCATTTATATATACATTTCTTTTTTCCTCACATTCTTTCTTGTAGCAATTCCCTCTCAGTCACACACCTGACTGAAAGGCTCATTATGCAGCTCATTATGCGGGCCTTTGTCTTCTCAGGTGTAAATCACAGCATTATGCATGATCATTCACGCCTACTCGCATATACCTTTTCTACACAAAATGTGTCTTAGAAAATTTAAATCAATATATTGTTTTCTGTGAATGAGTAAGATGATTTTCACATAATTTTGAAGCAAAAACTCTAGACTTCAAGATCCAGTTCTCAAAAGTCTTGTGATCAAATGTTCTGTATGAGTTTTATGGCCTTATTTCAGTGACTTTAAAATTGTAGTTTTTCACTAAGCACGCATAAACGTTGTTTTCTCAAAAACCCAATCACGTACATACATGCTGCTCACATATTATTGTAGCACAGTTTGTGCTGATTACAGTGTTATTAAACTTTAGACATTCAAATGTTTGTAAGCAACTGAAAAAAGCACAAATGTCAGGGCATGTCAAAACTTTTTCAGGCCCCAAAACACCCTATGACCCCAGAGGGTTAATCAAAAGTTATTCGAATTTTTGGAAATTTCATTATAACTTTTTGCTCAGAAACTTTTTGAGTACCATCAGAGTACTGTGCCGAAGACACATACTGCGTTTTGTAATGATACACCAGTGCGTTCGTAAAATATAGCTTTTTATGACAAAAGTCAAAATGGCTGCCATGGGAAAATTGTGAATGGTTCGACTCTGTATGTATGTTGCACCGAATCTAAAGAGACCAGTTTTGTGATTTTTTTGGCCAAACCATTCAGAAGTTATAAGCAAAAATATCTATTTTTCATATTTCCCTGACCACTAGGTGGTGCTGCACTGAAACACAGCATGTATCCTCAGGTCATGCTTGTGATGACATGGACCAAGTTTGTACTGAATACGATAAAGTGTAGAGGAGATACAGTCTTACATCTATTTTCACAAGTGCTACAGAAAATTTGTTGCCGCATTTTTGAAAATGGTTTGACAAATTGACTTAAATTCCATAACTTTTTGTCTGCATTGTCTGAAGATGATCTGGCTCAATTTTCATGGAAATTGGAGCAATGGCCTAGGAGGAGATAGAAATTTCTATTTAATTCTAAATTTTCATAACAGAAAATGACATCACATACTGCAATCGAATCGGCTAAGGAATCCTACATGAAAAAATATTGTAGTAAACTCTAGTATTTACTATAGTAAACTGTAGTAAATTATAGTATACTGTAGTATATTATAGTATTTACTACACGTTGTTAACTTATACTATATCATACTACAGTATTGACTAAAGTGAGTTCATAAAATGTAGTAAATACTGTAGTAAACTGTAGTAAATAATAATACACTGTAGTATATTATAGTATAAAACACTTTGTTAATTTATACTACAGGATACTGTAGTATTAACTAGGGATGTTCATTTTAACCGGTTAACTGTTAACAGACCGTAAGAATTTTTGACCGATTAATACAATCAGTTGTGTTAATGATTTACACATGGTTTAAAAAGTAATGGTTTAAAAAGTAATTTATTAACTTTTTTCAGTAATTTATCAAAATATTTAAAATGGTTTGCTGCATGGTTAAAATATGCTACGCGTATATAAAAACATTTGTTTTTTAGAAGAAAAAAAAACAAGTCGAGTATAGGCCTAGTAAGTCGCATTTTATTATTTCTTTCAGAAATAGGCCTAATGCCGACGCGAAATGTCTACAAAAATTTTAATAAACACTAGGGCTGTGCGATATTGAAGAAAAATGCGATATGCGATAACTCATTCAATAATGCGATATTCGATATGCGATACGATAATGCTTAAAGTGCCACATGCTCAGATGAAACAGTTTTACTCAGCTGTTGCTGAGTCAGTTCTGTGAACTTCTATAACTATCTTGTGTCATATATATATGGTTATTTGTATGTATGTATATGTATGTATCAAGAGCTCCTGTAAAACCACAACAAATTCCTTGTGTTTGCGCACACTTAAGTGGTGAATAAAATTCATTCTGATTCTAATATAACTAGCATACATGTTTCACTTTTTGTGAGAAGAAAGCACCCCTACAATAACTTCTGAAAGTGAACGTTAGTGTTTTACTCGAGCATTACATAAAAATGTCATTTTAACATTAGTGTAATCATTTTAACATGAGTTTAGGAACTGAATAATAAAAAGGAAAAATACAACACTGCTTAGTATTTACTCTATGAATTCAATATGCACTGATTCTTATTTAAGCTACAAAAGTTATTTAGGTAAGAGCAGTGAGTGATTTTCTCTTTGTCTTTTGTTCATGGCCCAAAAATTGCAAGCCGTAGCGATATGCATATTGCGATATGTACATTTGCGATATTTAGATAATTTCGATATATTGCACAGCCCTATTAAATACTGTAAACATAGCTAGGCTATTTTAGTTCCCCTCACGCCACAGCAAGTCATTTCAATTAACAGTATTTAGAAAAGAACAAGAATTAAAAATATAAGAAGCTATAGCAATATAAACGACAAGCCAAAACTAAACTGAAACCAACGTTGGGTCTCTCATTTGACAAAAAATCTAATATTTCCGTATTCGCAATGTATTTAAATGCCAAAATATTATTTATTATGTAGCCAACTTCACTGGCGTTCCAATATCCACGTAAAACAAAATGTTTTGCATAACATCACGGCGGTACTGTGACGCTTAACGGCACAGATTTACTACATATTTAAACTGAGCAGTGTGTTTTTTTCCATATGTTTGACTGACTGTATTTTATTATGATAATGAACAGGCTGCATTGTCAAGGTGCGCGCATGCGGCACCGGTGCAATCACTTGAATTGTTTCCTTCTAACAGTGGAAGAAACTACTCCTTTTAGTCATAAAGATATAAAAAAATTGTAAAAGGTTTGCTTTTATTTGTGTACATTCACAATAAAAACAAATCTTTGTGCTTTTGTAAAATAAGCCTAAAGGAAAATAGGATGTCGCTTTCTGTCGTCTGTTTCCTTTCGTCTGTCGTCTGTTTCACCTTATATGAGAGAAACTCTGCATACTAGGATACTTGTTGCACAGTTTTTCTTTCGTTTTCCTAATTTATTAAGTAAAAATATTTCTCTTATTATTATTATATTATTATTATTTATATATATATATATATAGCCAAGCTTTATGATGTTTTTCTCCGCTCGCAGGTGCGTGATGTGATATGATATGACCATGTGAATCCTCATGTTCTGTTGTTTGCTGCTTTTTGCGCATGCAAAATTAATCCCGGGGAAACAAATGTTAGTATTTTTTTACGGGTCACAGACACTAATTTAAAATAATCTTGTCAGTTAACAGTTAATAATTGGTTAAGGAGCGTCGGTTGTCGGTTAGGAAAAATAACCGAAATGAACATCCCTAGTATTAACTATAGTGAGTTTGTAACTGTGGTAAAATTAAGTTTTTACTATAGTAATACTGTAGTATATTATAGTATTTACTACAGTTTATTAATGTATACTATATCATAATGTAGTATTAACTACAATGATAATCAGTGAGTTACTATAGGATACCATAAGAAAATACAGGTACATCTCAAAAAATTTGAATATCATGAAAAAGGTCAATATTTTTTGTGACTCATTTCAGAAAGTGAAACCCATATATTATATAGATTCATTACACAGAGTGAAATATTTCAAGCCTTTATTTCTTGAAATTTTGATGATTATGGCTTACAAATAATGAAAACCCAAAATTCAGTTTCTCAGAAAATATTACATTACATCAATAAAAAAAGGATATTTTAAACAGAAATATCAGGCTTCTGAAAAGTATGTTCATTTCTATGCACTCAATACTTGGTTGGGCCTCCTTTTGCATGAATTACTGCATCAATGCGGCGTGGCATGGAGGCAATCAGCCTGTGGCACTGCTCAGGTGTAATGGAAGCCCAGGTTGCTTTGATAGTGGCCTTCAGGTCATCTGCATTGTTGGGTCTGGTGTCTCTCATCTTCCTCTTGACAATACCCCATAGATTCTCTATGGGGTTCAGGTCAGGCGAGTTTGCTAACCAATCAAGCACAGTAACACCATGGTCATTGAACCAGCTTTTTGCATTGAACCCACCTTTGGCAGTGTGGGCAGATGCC